AAATTGGAATGAATGAGCTAGAATGTACTCAAATTTATATTGGCGGCCATTTTGAAAATGGCGGCCATCTTGAATGAGCAGAGATATTTTTGGGCCCACTTCACTTTTGAAATCTACATGGTCTAAAGATGATTTCCTGAAAGTTTCATGCTTGTATCACAATTTGCACTATTTTCTCAATTTCCCGCCCCACTAATACCCTAAATTGCTCTTAATATTTATATTTATACATTATGGTCGGTATGATAGCATATATATCAGATACTGCTAAGGGTTTTGATACGAAGTGTGATAAGAAAATATGCAGATTTTCATTTACAAATAAAACTGAGTGCAAAATTATACAGAATATAAAGAAATCAATGCAATGTCTGCTAAATATTCTTCAAAATAAGTTATAAAAAAGACAATGCAGCTATCGAAACAACGACAAATATAGAAACATACACATAGCACAACCCAGAACACACCTAATCTTTTACGTGACGACGTCACGTCATTACAACTCGAAAAGAAAACTCCAGGTTGCAGGCGTGTTGGCCCTAGTCGCATAAATACCTAAAGGCAATTATACATAAAATGCAAAAATTTTCTGAATACTAGTACTTGCATGATTAGACCGTGAATATTATCTGGCTAAAGGGTCCGTCACATCATGACGTTTTGGTCAACGCTCTCTGAACGTTTCAATCATTCAATATTTGAACATTCTTGAATGAAGTTGACACATCTAGCGTGCGATTAACGTACCTCTAACGCATAACTAGCGTGTGTCTCACGCATGGGAAACGTGTAACAGCTACCAAGTAAGATACGTCGGAAACCCATAAGCGTGTGCTAACGTGCAATTGGCGCGGGACGAACTATTTGTCAATGCCTGACGAGCGTTGTGAACGTGTGACTAACGCGTGAATAACGACAGAATTGCGTCTTGACGGTGTGTTATTTTTACGGCGTAAACGGCACAGAACGCTGGAAATTCCATAGTGAATTCAGTTGCTCTTGTGAGTTTGAATAGTTAGAATCATGGCGTCATGACAAAAAGAATAGGATGAGGGCTCCTACTAGCTACATCTTTTTATTTCCAAATCCTTGACGTCTTTATTTTCATGATTTAGTCCAATACTGTCGTCTTCGTCGGGGTCTTCTTCTTTATGGATGAGTGCCGGATTCTTCTCTGCGGATGAATTCCCTCAATATGTTCAGATATGTTTGAATTCAGTACATCTACTTGATGCATGGCTATAGCAAACATCGAAGCCTACTCAATCTTTCAGGATCTTCCATAGAAAGTGTTCTCTACGACAACCCAAAATCAAATGAACCTTGCTTTTCAAATATGCATAGACGTTCGTGAAACGGTCAAATGACGCTTAAATAAAGCTCAATGGACGCCAAAAGGACGTTTATTTACCTTTAATCACACGTTTTGTGCGCTTGAAGACCGTTCAGCAGTCGTTGAAAGTTCGCCAGTGAGTCGCCAGTGAGGCGTTCACTGCAAAGCAAACCATAAGTAACAACCAAGTAGCGATTGAGTAACGACTGACTAACGATAGCAGTACGTGTGCAACGCTCGGCAAAAGTTAGTAAAATGTTCCATGAACGTTTTTAAACGTTCTTCAGCGTTTCAGATTTAAACGTTGAAGAGCGCTAGTCTGAATGAGAAACATTTTTTCCTTACCAGCGTTCTACGCCGGTCGCCGGCGATTACTAACGTTCACTGGCGTTCACACAACGTTCTTTTGGCGCCATCCAAGCAACCATGGGCGACTTTCAACGTTTCTTAAAACGTCGTAGAACGCTGATGAGAACGTCATGGTGTGACGGCCCCATGAGGTTTTATCATGTAATGCATTACATCTACTTTAATTAGGCTTACATTACGTTTAAATGCTCTGGAACTGAAAGTCATGGGTTCCAACCCCATATCGGACAACTTTTTCTTTTTTAACATTACTCTTGTATTTATATTTTACTCAGATCCCTATTGGAAAGAAAAATACATATGTCAGGTATGCCACAAAATTATAACATTCACCTTACACATTCAATATAAAATTGAACAAAGCACAAAATTATAATTATGTTAAGCAAATGACGAAAATTGAATTTCTTCAGATGAGTTATGCTCTTATTATTTGCGTGGAAAATGTAGTTGGGGCTCCAACTGTCAGAATGTACATTGTGATCTGCCGTATCAGTGGAGATGGAGAAAAAGAGGGTCAGGGGACTGGACAGTGTTTAGTGAGGATGAAAATAACGAGATAGAACGGTCGTTTGGTGACCCAACCAATGAAAACCACATCGTTTTTTACCATGAGTAAGGTTTTAAATACAATTCTTTTTCACGTCATTGATCGTCCACTTACATGCTTAAAGGGATACACAGTGAATTGATGACAAAATATTAAAATTATCTTATGTACTCAAATCACGCTAAAATGACATAATTTAAAGTCCCAACATGAAATTCTGTATAATTTCTATATATTTGGGTATGTCAAAATATGTTGAATCAAATTTAGACGCCGACAGAATCACCGAGTATTTTAAAAGTTATGTGACTTGAAATAACCATGGAAGTTACAATTACAGATATTGTAGATATTGTATGATTGAAACAAATCTAAGTCATTCGTACCGTCTTTCGTATCTTTGTACCGTTTCCAGAATTCAACGTGACAACTTTTGTGAAATATGAACGGTCTTACCTGACCCACGTGGGTCAAGTTAGGAAACCACCATTTTAGTCTTTATACAATGGTAGGATACTACGTCATCGCGCACCTGCTGAATGCTCCCACTTGGACCATTTTTTTGTCGATTCGAAGGTATAATACAATTTTATTGTAAGAAAACGTAAGAATATTAAAAAATCATGTAGCGCACCAAAGAATGGCTATAGTACTTGAGATAATTGTAAAAATAGTTTATAGATCTATTGCCTGGTTTAAGCCTGAAAACGGGATAAGTGTTTTTCTCTGAATGCTCCCACTCGGACTTTTCCCGAAACATATATGAAATAAGGTTGAAAACCTTCTTGAAAATTATTTTTTACGTACCGGAACATAAACCGAGTTCATGTTTATCCATTTTTCTAGATTAGTTTCAAATATTCCATTCAGAAATCAGTTTTTCTTAATTCTTTTATAAAAATGGAAAATGCTCCCACTCGGATCATCTTCAGAGATGCTCCCACTCGGACCTGAATGTACACATATTTTGAAAGCACATTGCTGTGTAAGAATTTATTATTTTTTCAAATTATCTTTATATTTAAGTTCATATATTCATATTATCAATTAGAATTCAATGAAACAGCATTTTTAAAGTACTATACTAATATTTAGATCACTAAATTGTGACATATTTTATCATAACAGTCTCGTAAATTTGTCTTCTTAGAGGATCAGTTATCGGCCTAAAAGTAAGAAAAAAAGTTATGTTGAAACAATTCCTCGTTAAATAGACTCGCTGAAATAAGAAACATATTGATTATACATTTTAAAAATATAATAACGTTTTGTTTTGCAGAAAGTATTTGTGTTTGTGACCAGTATGGGAAAAGGTATAAACCACATTGCGACGTAAGGAAGCACATGGTAGGACATCTTGGCACGGCATAGCTGGAGCAAATATTTTAGATACCAACTGTTGATATATCTCAGTGAGGAGGAATACTCTAGAAAACACAAGAATTGTAGCTCTTTGAAGTAATTGTCTTTTGTTCAGTTTTTGCGTAAATCATTGGACAATGTATCAAAAAGGATCAATTTATCTGAAACTGAAGGATAGATATACCACAAACAAGAATGACAACTCTCCAGTTTTGGAGTTATTCCCCTTTGTATTCACACTATGATTAGTTTGCAAGGACCATACATCTAAAGGTATTTGAGATATAAACTTGAAACTTTATATTGAACAAAACTTCCGTATGCTGTTTTTAATTTAAGAAAACAAAACTGGAACAGTGCAGATAGAAGTGAATAGCAGAGCATAAGGCCAAGAAGTGTTTACTTAATGCTTCTTTGTTGTTTTATGTTGTTTTTTTCATGGGAGTGTTATTTTGTCATGATTTATTTATTTCTAGGCTATAACTTTTCATCAATTTTTACGAGTGTCATTACTTGGATTTTTATATGTATGTAAGGGTAACTTCCCCTATGAAATGTATTTCCTCCTTTTTGGCGGGGGATTTTATTGTCTGTGATTCCTCCTTGTATGATTGTTATTATTTTAATGTCTTTTAAATATCCTGAAATCAACTTTGGTTTTATAAATATAATGCCCTAATGAAGATTTATCAATATTGTATGTTCCAAAAAGCATTATTTATATTGATAATACCGAATTAATATTTCATAAAGGGAGGTAATTAGAAATATATTTTCTTTTAAGTGTAAGTTGAATTCTTAAATAAGAAATGAATGCATACATGCACAGACACTTGGGGTTTGGAGCTCAAAACGCCGTTAAAATCCAAATAAAATGCATATTTGTCAATCCCAGCATATGTACTGATCATATATATCAAAAAAACTTAATATAAGCCGTTCTGAAAAAAATACATATTTCAACATCTATAATTATTATAGATGTTGAAATATGTATTTTTTTTCAAAACGGCTTATATTAAGTTTTATATATATATATATATATATATATATGATCAGTACATATGCTGGGATTGACAAATATGCATTTTATTTGGATTTTAAAGGCGTTTTGAGCTCCAAACCCCAAGTGTCTGTGCATACATGTATATTTTAATGATTACATATAATGTGGACAGGCATTTGCAGTACGTATTTCACATATTCCTTAATGTTTGAAAATTGTTTTAGGAGCAAAATTATGTACATATATATAAAATTTCAATTGTAATATTACCAAGATATGGTAAAGACTGTGATAAAGAAATAACTGTGATCTTTGTTTTCTTATTTATTTAATTTTGTTATTTTAGGTAAAAATACGTACATATGATAACTTTCATACTTAAAAATGTCAAAGTTGTCAATAAGTGTGATGCATGCTTTATATGCCATGCAGTACATTGACTTTTTAACCAGTTCATGACAAAAATGATTCACATGTTGTTCTTTAATAAACTATTCAAATCAACCGATAGATATTGACTTCTTTATGTTCATAAACGTACCATTTTGTTGTTATAAAATCTAAATCACAAGTTAAACAAACACGCAAATCATTGGGATTTAAATTATTTACAAGATATTAAAGTCAGCAATTATTGAATAAATACAGGCCTCTAATATGTGTACGAGTCCAACAGAATCTTAATCCAGTATGGTACAATGTATAATGACTTCTTTATAAAGCACCACCATTGTTTTAACATCTCAAAAAAACTTAATTCTTGAGATCCAAACTGTCCATTTAAAGTCTTATAGTCCTATCTGTGTTGTTGGCAATAATTTTGAATCACCCCTTCGGATCCAACACAAGCCAAGTGCACCTTTTTGTAATTAAAGTGATCCTGTCAGTTGAAACTTTGCCATGGCACCAGGTCCTGCCCAACAACGTAAGAAGTGATGTCTGTAAAAAGAAGGTAAAAGTGAATGTCGTCAACACAGTTATAGACAAAATGGTTTAAAAATTGTAAGAATAGTCCATAAAAGCTTTGCACATCAATGTGCTTTCAAAATGTATATATTTGGGTCCGAGTGGGAGCATCTCTGAAATCGAGTCCAAGTGGGAGCATTTTCTATTTTTATAAAATAAAACTTAAAAAAACTGACTTTTGAATAGAAATATTTGAATCTAATCTAGAAAAATAGATAAACATGACTCGGTTTATATTCCGGTTCGTTAAATATAACTTTTAAGAAGGTTTCAACCTTATTTATTATATGTTTCGGGAAAAGTCCGAGTGGAAGCATTCAGAGAAAAACACTTATCCCGTTTTCAGGCTTAAACCATGCAATGAATCTATAAACTGTTTTTACAATTATCTCAAGTACTATAGCCATTCTTTGGTGCGCTAAATAATTTTTTAATACTCTTACGTTTTCTTATAACAAAATTGTATTTTACCTTCGAATCGACGAAAAAATGGTCCAAGTGGAAGCATTCAGCAGGTGCGCGATGACGTAGTATCCTACCATTGTATAACTAAGAAGAAAAGTTTTGTTCCTGGGACTGCCTAGTGTATTCATTTTGAGGACATTTACAGAATAATGAATGAAAAAATCAAAACGAGGAAATGAAAATTTTGCCTGTCTCTCCCTTTAAATCAAGGTGCATGTCATATTGTTCAACGAAGTCTATTTCATTTGTAGAATGACCATAGATTTTAACAGCATGAGTGGCCAAGGTAATGAAGACAGCCAGTTTGAAATAGAAAGACTGTCAACCCCGTCATCAGTAAATCATGGCAACCAAACATGGAGAACAAAATGGTTGTGGTATTGGAAAAACCCTAAAGAGGAGTGGATAAAGTTTGGAGATTTGGTAATACATATATACAGTATTATGCAATTAAGTTTTAGATTGCAGATATATAATAAATTCTTATAAATGTATCATAATGATATATATGACTGTCTATATGACTGTCCGAAAAACACATTTGAACATAAGTTTATATATCTATATTAATGATCATATTTATGGTATAATGAGTTATTATAACTTAACTTACGTTTGTCAAAGCCGTGCTTACATTTACAAAATATAGATTTAAATTAGATTGATTCAAAGCTGACGTTTCTCATTACTCTCATATGCTATTCCCTTCCGTATACATTGCTCTCCAATGTTTATCTTTATTTTGTCTGTTTATGTATATAATAGGATAACTATGAAGGGTGTAAGGCTGGAATTAAAAGCGCTGAATTGGAAGAAGCTTTTGTTGCCGACCCAACTGGCGAAACAAACTTTAAGACAACAGGGACACATTCATTTGACTACATCGTCAATTTTCACGATATGATACAGCGAAATTCTAAATATGGTACCACAAGGGAATTATGCAGACGGCCAGAATTCACCAACAAGCTTGATTTTGAATTGAACCGGTAAGTTCCAATTGCGCCATTTTATGTACCCTCTTTCAAATAGAGAATGAATACTATCAAATGGGAAGCTATTGCCTTTAATTTTATCTTAAGTTTAACATTACAATTTAGTCATATAAATGCAAAAATCTATCAAGTCAAATTTTCAGTACTGTAAAACTCTTTGATATGAATAATTAGCTTTAATAGTTTGACCCGTGAATTTTATGTACCTTTCAATGTTTTTATTGTTTTTAATGTATGATAGTATTTTTAGAATTATAATTTTTCTGTTCTAAAGTCTGAGAATATTACCAAATGCAGACAATGCAATGAGTAATGGAATTCAGGCACCGGCAAATTGGAGCATACCAAAGTGGAAAGATCTTTCGGAACATATTGTGATTGTAACGGGAAGTATTTTTCTGGGGGTTTCACATTTTAAAGTTCTAGTTACAAGTCATTTAGTGATAACAACAGTATAGGAGTACCAGTATTTTATAATTTATTGTAAGTCTACGTGCAACTTATGCTTATCCCTTGATGATTGGGAGGGTGAAGTATTTCAATTGCTGTTAAAAACTTATGCTGAAAGCTGTCATGCATATTGTGACATTTTGTATGCCTTATCAGAAGTATCATTGTTTATTCATTGGAATCAACTTGGTAAAGACACGAACTCGTCCATTCATGTCTCGATTAGCACCTTAGATACGATGTACAAAATCAAATATTATCTTAAATCATATGACATATAGTTACATACATTTATGAATTAAATATTTGACCATTTATCTCGTTACAGGTGAATGAATCAGACCCAGAGTACGGAGAAATAAAATCATTGTTCCTTCAAAGTCAGCAGAACGTTGATATTACGTCAATAGACAGGATAGAAAATGGTGATTTGTGGGAGAACTATATGATGTAGGTTATTATTTAAGATGTAACCATGGTCATATCTTCCTATCAAATTAAAACGTCAAACTTCGTTCTGTAGTTCAAAACGAATGTTTTGTTAGTTTGAGTGTATGTAAGAGGTGTTCTACTCATGGAGTGATATTTGACTTTAAATTAACATACCTTGCAGTTTTTAAAAATTCATTTTAATTGCAAACATAAAATTTTCAATTTCGGATATATTGGTAATCTTTAGAAGCGATATGTAAGCAATTACTCTTTAAATGTTAACCAAATTATGATCGAAATCAAAGACGTCTATTATGAGTATAATTATCCATACTTATCAATGAGGTAAACATGTTTAATTAAATTACTGGTTTAAAATAAATAAAAATCTTAAATATATTACATCATGATATGTAAAAGTACATCTGCATTTACTATATTAAAGGAAGAAATCCAAAATGTTGAAAAAGAAAAATGAAGGACAACTCGGAGAAAAAAGAGTATTCCATGACACAATGAACAAAAATATACCTGCTATTTGTAAGCAAGGGTTTGACTCCAGGCTCAATGATCAGACAACAGGTAAATGTATAACTATTCAAACTGCTCCTTATCATAAGACAAACGACAGTGTGGAAAAAATATAAAAATAATTCTGTCAGCAGTGGTATCCTCTTATTCATTCTGATTAAGAGACGTCTTTTAATGCTCCCTAAGGATCACTTACTTCAATATATTTTTACATAGAAAAAATGATTTTTTTAAATGCTGTTTATTATCACGACTAGAAAAGGGTCAAAATCTATCGAGCTTTTTAAGCTGTCTGTTTTCTTCAAATTTCTTTGATGGTTAAAACATGCATCTTTTAGTTAACAGAAAAATGCTTCTACATTTAAAGCAACGTTTAAAGTGAAAAGTCAAGCATCTTATTTACTTTCTATCAATGCTGAAATATAATGAGAATCCAACTGCAACATTACTTATTTCGCCATTAATAATTTAATAAAGTATATGTCATTGCTTTATTGTAACATTCAATACATGATTTCATGTAGTTTAATTCATATATTTGGAATTGTGATTTCGGGAAGTTAAAATTGTTATTCACGAAGCCGAAATCGTGAAGTTTAAAGCATGAATTCGCCTAGCTGAAATCTTAAAGCTGAAATTGTGAATTCCTTTAAAATCGTGAATTTGTGAAGTTAAAATATTGAATTTATAAATTTGAAATCGTGAATTTCGTATGTTAAAATGTAAATTCACGAAGTTTAAATTGTAATATCACGAACATGAAATCGGGAATTCATGAAATTGAAATGTCCCCACCAGTCTTTCGTTACTGGAATGTTTTCCAGCGTATTTTTCATAATGGCGATATAATTAAATCACTATAAAATTTTACATGATATCGAGGCACATTTGAAAATGTTTAAAGAGATTCTAAGGCAAAATAATGATAAAAATATTAAAATGATCTAATGTTCTCAAATCACGCATTTTTTAAAATTCACAGCTTGAATTTCCGTACAAATTCTATATATTTTGAGTTTGAAGCGTAAATATATCTACATTATGTTGAACGAAATTTAGACGCCGACACAGTCGGCAAAGAGTTTTAAAACATGTCATGTGACTTGAACAAACCCTGGAAGTTACAATAACTGGTTTTATGGATAGTGTATGACTGAAACAAGTCTAAGTCATTTATATGACATGTTGTTTAACGTTTCTAGAGCTCAGGTTCACTGTGTCAAATATTGTGAATTCTAACGCTCTAAGCTGACCCACGTGGGTCAAGCTAGGAAACCACCATTTTATTCTTTATCAGGAGAAAAGTTTTGTTCCTTTGACTGCCTAGTGTATTTATTTTGAGGACATTTACAGAAAAGGGAATAAAAATTCAAAAAGAAGAAATGAAAATTTTGCCTGTGTCTCTCTTTAAGCTTCGTATTTTTTTTAATACAGTATACGGAAAAGGCTGCTATTTTGCGACTTATTCAAGCTACTCTGATAGCTATGCTGAGTGTGGTGCGGAAAAATCCATGTTTGTTGCAAAAATTTTGCCAGGAGAATACGTATGCGGAAACTCTTCTTATTGTCGCCCTCCACATAAAGACGCATCAGATCCAACCAGCGACCTCTACGACTCATGTGTAGATAACGTGTTGAATCCATCGATCTTCGTGATATTTGACAACAACCAGACATATCCAGAATTCCTGATTCGATATACAGAATGAAGTAATACTTTGTTTTGAGATGTAATCTTTTCATTTTCGGATGGATCAATATTGCCTTTTTTGAAAAAAGGACTTAAAACTGTTCAAACGGTTTATGTTTAAGAACTGTATATATTTATATGTTGTTTTTTTATGTTAATGATTTACTGAGTTGATTTTTTTCTTCTTTTATCTTTTGTAACCGTCAGTGTGTTTCTTTTATTTGTCAAAAACATTGTTTTCGTTTTTTATGTTTTTAAAAATTAATTATTTAAAAACAAAAGAAATTATATGTGCAGTGCATTTTGCGCTTGTGTGAAATCTTACTAATCAGTGTACTTTCAGTATTAACCACAAACAAAACATAAATAACAAAAGGATAAATACAATGAACCTTCTTTTATGAGATATCTCAAACGGCGTTTTTGAAGTCGTCAAAGTAATCTTAGATGTACGTTTTCGTTAGCTCATCCATACAGTCATTCGCGCAGACATTTGTATTGTTGTTTCAATAATGTGTAGAATATGCTATATAATAAAAGAATTTAATCTCAGCATACCATGAGTATTTTTCTTCCTTTTTGCTTGATAAATGCGTGTTTTAGTCGTTAAATTTTCAAGTGAATGTTTTCAACCTCCCTTACACCAACAGTTAACATACAGTAATTGTTATTTTAATTGTAGTATGAAATATGTAACCAATAAAGCTGACATTCATACAGGAGGTGTTCTTCTTTTGTCTTATAAAAAGCAAGAAATGCATGTGTGTTTAGATTAACGGATCATCAAAAAGACGTAAAGTTGGGAAGCTGAAGATGATCCATGTACCCTTCCTCTGAGGTCTGCGTGTTAATCTCTGAAACTCTTACCCATTATCTTTTTGATATAACATCCTCCCATCAGGTGTGCATTTTGTAGCTCATTTTTAACTATGAAACTAATATAATCGTACTCAACATATTTTCTACAAATCAAACAAACAAACAAACAAATGTATATTTTAACAAGAGGACCATGATTACCATGGATCCGTCATCCGAGACACAATGCTATTAAATTCACCCTTTTGTGTCCGAGATTGTTCTATCATTTGGTACATTCTATAAAAACATATTCTTCGCATAATTATTAATATTATTAACATGTTCTCAAAACGTAACTTTAACTAAAAAATGTGAAATAGATGTAATTGTAAGGAATGAAAATGCTCTTTTTAGCTCGTCTGTTAAGACTGCTTCGTCGCCGTCGTTGTTGACGTGAACAATTTCTTTTATGTAGCCATTTCAAAAGGCACATTGTGTGTCAGCAATGAATTTGTTATTCTGTAGAAATAGGTTGTATGTGTTATACGTGATGGGGAACATGTTAGATGCTTATATTCAAATTGTTGCCATAAAGGTAGAAAAATGTAAAAAAGTGGTTGACTTCCATAAAAAAAAAATCTTTTTAACTATACTTACTGCCCAAACGCAAAGGATAAAAAAGATGGGTCAGCTATGTAGCGAGTGAGTATCTTCTTTATAATCTTCAACAGGACACCAAAAATTAAAAACTTTTAAAAAATAAAAACTACGTTTTTTTTTAGGTTTAATTGGACACTTGAAATACTTTAGCATGAAGAGACGCAGTTTTAAGGCAAGGGTAATTATTGTAAAAGCTATATGCTTAGAGTTATGTCCCTTTTAAACATTTGTCTAAAGGCCTATTTAAGGATATACTACGCTCATCTTTGGTTAAAATAATTTTATAGCAGACATTTATTAAGATCTAGTAAATTCATCCTAAATTTGTATTATTTCAGTAGGTGAATGTATACACTATGTTTGGGAAGCTGCATTTCATATTACTTTTCAAGTTAATTGAGTCTATTCTAAACTCCCTGATTTTCAGTGACACTATGAAATAATACTGTGATTGCCTGCAGTGTAGACTTTAAAACGTTACATATTTTTTCTGTGTGCATTCAAAAGAGGTTTATTTTACATTTAGAAAAAGATTGTATAGAAATTATCAGTTTTTTTAAATGTCAGATATAAACATAATATAGTTTAATGGAATGATTTTGAAAACTATCAAAGGTTTCGAAGTAATACTTGAAAACCAGTACGAACCAGTACGAACTTTTCAACTTACGTCTTTAAAAAACTAAAGATCAGTTGTGAATACGGTCCCTGTTCTCCGCAAGTAAGTGTCGCACTCACGAACCCACGATCCTTGCTAGACCACGCATTTAACCTATCTGCAGGGTGTCTACAGTGCTATTAACACAGGAATGCTTTAGAGAAGTATGAAGAATTAATGCATGTACATTGACAGGAATTCCATTTAACAGTTCGATGATATTTCATAATGGAGCCTCATACAAACTTGTCTATCAATATTGGAACAGTTAAAGATAGAAAACTAAACTCTACCTTAAATAGTAATTACTATTTCCGACGACAATGTATTGTGACGTGAATATGTTTACAATGTAGAATGGACTTAAATATCGAACAATTTATTTGAATTTTTCTTCGCTATTTAGTTCAAAGTCGTACTTGGACTTTTTGCATATCGATTGTCTTTTTCATGAATATCAGATAAAAATCATGGAGCTCTTCCCATTGTAACGTGTACGTCGTGGAAAATGGCAGGGTGTTGGTGAAAAAAAAAACAACATAAAACAAACAACAACAGCCCCCAAAAAAACATCATCATCAACAACAACAGCAGCAGCAAAATAAACAAACAACAGATGGCAGAGAAAATGTTTTAATCGAACTTCTTGCCCTGCGGACCTTCATGCTGATATGCTAGCTAAAGAGATGAAGGTGAGGAACGGTACAAAGGTGTTGGATATATAAAGTGCTTTGTTCTTGACAAATAAATTGTTTTTTCTTTATTTTGATGAAATTATGATTGAAAATTTGTCTGACAATCATTATCAATTTGGAAACGCCCACTGATAAAAATTCTAATCAAATCCGAATTAATGTCATCATTTTTTCATTTTGTAATTTCGGTTTCAACAAACCAAAGTAATTACTAAAGTGTATAAATAATGTAATAGTGTTTACTTTTATGTTTCCCCATTGTGGTTAAGGGGTTGCTGATAAGGCTTGAAGAACCATAATTGCAGCAGCCGTTTATCCCTGCATGATCCGAAGAGTCGACTAAATGGGTTTGCATAATTGGAGTCTATGAATCTATTAGCTTTAGGAGGTGAGGCGGTCATCATCATCATCATCATAAACAACAACATAAATATATACCTACAAATTAACTTAGGTGAACCTTTAGATAATGTATAAGAATAAACTTAGTCAACAGCTCACAACATAAGATTACTATTTGCTTATATGTTTTAAATATAATGATTAAGAAACTTCTTTTGCGATTTTATGATATTTTGAAAACTTAGTCAGTCAAATCATGTTGAATCCGAAGCGATGTAAGAATACAAGGAAATGCAAAAAGTAGATGCTTTGGCTAAAGAACCTTCAAATTCTCAAGCTAACAAACACTGATTGATTTTAACCTCTCAATCTGAACGGAAATCAAACTAGGAAAAAGCTGAATTTAACAAACTTCATGATATCAACCCTTGTTATGTGCTTGTTTTGATAGTTCACCATCTCTCTGTCTCCTCAACCGTCATGGTGATGTTGTTGTTCTAAGATGTATAATTTGACATACTAGAGTTACACGACAAGAGACGAATATCCATTTTGTATAGCTTGCAATGAGTCTTTTAGTTTCAAACAATTTCTTCTTGAATGCTATGATTTTACACATGTTTGTTATAAATTTTATCGAGTCAATTCACTTAGAGAAGTTTTTGTCTCAATTGTATGTATAACCCTGATCGATTACTGCAAGGAAGTGAATTTGTATTAAGTATAAACTTATTCACTTGTATCAACAGTTTTAGACCTACTTATTGTCGTGTTCGGTTCGGTATGACAAGTAAAGTGTCTGTGTCGCCGTTGCATCCAAGTAAACAAACAATGAAACGAATGCAAATACATTTCAAGAGTCTCTAACCCCGGGACACCTTCGAGTGAATTCATCAGTGCGATGCTTTAGGCGTTTCAAGTGAGCAAACAATTACTTTGAAATTTCATCAATTCCATATTAGCGTAAATATTGCCTAAAAAACATAGATAATTGTATACTTTTTATTGATAAAACAATTGTTTTGTATTTAGTTAATGCAATAATTGTAAATATACACAGAACATCAAAAGCTACATTTCTAGTCTATAAACGTCCGTTACAGATGTACTGTAGGAAGGTACAAAAAGCTCTAGCATTCCATCGCCGTCCACGTCGGCACATGCCAGCTGTCCGACAGTTTCGCCGCCAGTCGTTACAACTGTGGTTTGCGTATATGTCCAATCGTTCTTATTTTCACTGTTTGCTGTCAAAATGTAGGCACCGCCGTTATCGTCACCGGATACAATGATTATTGGTTTACTGTAATCAACGAAAAATGATTAATATGAATCAACGAGTCTTACAATTCTTAAAAGTCAACAGTGATGACCCAAAATTAATCAAAATTAATAGTAAATATAAATCAACGGTTAATCAAGGTAAACTCTATAAATCTATGTTAAGAACGGTGAAAAGCATCAGCTATTTTGATAATAATCATCGGTAAACAATAAGTATAACTTTATATAAATCAACGGAATTTATATAAATCAAAGTGTAATGATCAATATAAAGTAACGGTCAAATTAATTGACACGAATCAAGTTAAAATAAAACTATTAGATGCATATATAAATCAACTGTTTATAGCTTATCTTACTAAACGGGATGTGGTTTATATTATTCAACGATAATATATGATTCTGCTTTTAATCAATAATAAATATTACATATAAATCACCAGTTATTGATTATTAAATCAAGTGTATTAATGAAATAACATACGTATTATTGGAAATCCGTGCTGTGAATGACGAACCTGGAGCGCCCTTGCCATTACCCGTGCTTATAGGGACATAGCCTGTAGATATCACGTGACGTTTAAACTGGCCAGTTCTAAAACATCACAATGTTGAAATAATTAAGTCAGATAAAGATTGAAGGTGGTTAATTTATATTTTTGCGGAGAGTCATACTAGGCTATATATGTGTACATTAACATTTTTAAACATTCGTATAAACGATTGGGGAGAGTGAAATGCATTGGGTTACTAGTATATACTAGTATACACTGTACATGTACTTAATGAAAGAATATACTAGTATGCAAAATCAAAAGGTAATTTATGGGCCTTTAAATCCGGTATTAAGCTTTTTGACAAATTTTATTTTCAGTTAATATTATAAAACATTTTACCGGTTATATGACCCTATATAAACGGATATTTGTATATATATAACCCAAGCAATTTGATAATGGTTTTTTGCAAATAATCGTTCATCTACGGTCAAATAACCTGCCACGAATTTAAAATACTGTAAACTTCTTTTATTAGAGATAAAAAATGAAATGATTTCTTAAATCGACTGCAGTCGTGTATATAGATTATAAAAACGTCACGATTATCCAATGAAAAACGACGTTATAAAGGTGCAGTGCTATAAGATTCTTTATAAATTAAGCAGATTGGCGTCACGATTATGCGTGCAGTATTTTAATACATTGAATGCAAAGAACTGTTACCTAAAATCGTCTGGTATTTCGTAAACAAACACCGATCCATTGTTTCCATTATTGGTGACGAGTAAATCCATTCTGCCGTCATTATTGACGTCATCAAGTTTAACTTCGAATACAGCACCAATTGTGGCATCAATAATTCTACTTTTAACCTGAAAATTGGAGAAAAACTATATAAGATTTCACATCAATATTATCGCCGTTTTCCTTCAATGACATTATCTTTCGATAAATTCAAACGTGCCAGTCGGCTATGACCGAAGCAATCCGATTTTGTGGCCCCAGCTTTGCCGTGTGCAAAATGCGCAGCGCTTTTAAGTTTGGGAACCACATAATCGTATAGCTTCGTTCATAGCCGTTTGGTCCATTGAATTTATCGAAAGATTTTGTAGTTGGAAAAAAACGGCGATAAAATTGATGTTTGTTTCGGCTGTTGCTTTGTTTATATTACCGTTGAAGTTTAAAATTGACCATCATCGTGAAGAATTATATCTTCTGTGTCGATGGACCAAAGGATTATGTGGAAATGGAATAAAATACATGGTGATTATGACGGTAGGGGTGCGGAATTTTTCCGGCGAACATTTTTATCTTGTGTATTATTATAGATGTTGAAATATGAAATTTTTTCAAAACGGCTTATATTAAGTTTTTTGGATATATATGATCAGTACATGTGCTGGGATTGACAAATATGCATTTTATTTGGATTTAAAAGGCGTTTTGAGCTCCAAACCCCAAGTATCTGTGCGTTTTTTCAACATGTTTGTACAAATTACGTTGTGTCGTTTTCATTCTATACTCTCAAATAGATTCAGTGTTGTCTTTCTTGTTAAACGAATAACCTTCTTCCACTTCCACCGTGGTAGAAAAAAAATATTACCTCTGATGTATTCGTCCAAAGACCTTTACTATTTGTTGTCCAGTAAATTCCTAGCGCTTTCGTGAAAAACTGAGCTGTAACAATACACTCTACAGGACCGTCTGTAGTATTCAATGTGGTATATTCAAAGAAAATATCGGGTCCTTCACTGAGAACGTGAGTTTTCCATGCGAACGTGACGTCACCGTTAGGATTCTCCAACCATAGAAGTTCACTTGCCTTCGAACCTACGTTTAAACAACTCTTTTAAAAGGAGAAATATGTGATGATTAAGATAATATCAAAGTTTGGCTTGTGTGATATTCACCGAGACCTTCGAGGTTTAAAGACTTGGATTTTCACGGAAATCATTGCATTAAATTTTCAAATTTTATTTATTTTAATAACCGGAACTCAATGTTCTATATAGCGGTATCACGTTTATCCGTTAAAACGAGTTCAGCCGGTTTTAAGCCATCATCGGAAACCCACGGTTGATCAACATGTAACATAACATGTAATCTGATAAATGTTACTGGTTCGGCTGTAGGTATCCGACGATGGTTTTAAGCCAAAAACCGGTGAAAATAAAAGTCAATAATCGGTAATCGAGCTTAATATTAGACCAATAGCCAAAGAAGTTTAAGAATGATTTTATATATTTTACTTTGACCAAGTATGACATTTTGTTTTTAGGTTAATCGTACAGACATGTGTCTTTTACTATTGCATGGTGTCAGATTGTGTACGGCACAGAATAGGCAAATTAACTCTAGGTTTCATGTTGATACCTGTGACAGTTTTGGCATAATTCTACTTAATAAGCAAACAAACAAAAATTGGTTACATTACAAATTCAAATTGGGCATTAATCGAAACAGTCATATAACATTCAGAATAATGACTGCGCATTTTCTACAAAAGCAAGTACATGTATTCCAAGTTCCGTGTTGATCCTTTAAAAGTGTTTAAGTTATTCCTATATAAACAAAATTCATGCGACGTAGCAATCGTAATTTATCAGCCTTTTTAAAAAAAAAAAAGACGAGCTAAACGTGAGCATTTTTCTTAAACACGTTCAAGTCTATTTTTTTAAAAAAATATTCTGGCATATTTGTAAGAAGAATATATTTGTAATTTTTTAAGACTTTACGCTTATTTTGTGTGATACATATGACGTCACGTCACACTACTGGTATATGAAGGCCCGTGTCATATAGTTAATGCCAATTCCCACGCATAAGCCACGCATTCAGGGGATATTATAATAGTTACAAAATGGTTATATTCGAAAACAAGTGATGTCAAGAAATAAACTGCTACACTACCGAAAATTGGTTCCCTCGCGTGACAAGTCACGGCGTCGAGGTCCCCGTCACCGTCCATGTCATGCCACCTTGTCCTGTGATAGAACCATTGCCCAGTAGAATCATCTGTGATTGTATATGGACCACTCGGTGGCTCGGTAGATACGTCAATCAATTTCAAACCACCGTTAGTTTTGAACGGTAAGATGAAGCCATATGGGACAATAACCATACGCTTTCCAAAAACATCATCTGAAAATAAAATGAATGCGTTGATACAATAGCAGAATATGCATTAAATTACAGGGCCGTTCGCGGCCAAGTGGTAATTAAGGTCGTTGACTTCAAACTACTTGCCCCTCACCACTGTGGGTTCGAACCCCGAAAGGAACTTTGGATTGCATGCGAGGAAGCTATCCAACTAGCATATGGAACATCGATGGTTCTAGTTCTACTCTGGTGCCCTTGGTAGAAAAATGTAATAATGCATTGATGAGCACCTGAGGTCATACTACACCAGTTAAGCTGGAACGTAGCCATATGACCTTTTCTGTGTCGGTGTGGCGTAAAATCCCAATCAAACAAACAAACAAACATTAAATAACATGTTTGTATGTAATGTGTATATGCTCCAAATAAATGATACAGTGCTTCTGTTTATATAATATTTGGTTTACAGAAGTACGTTTTACATATAGTTTTCGAATTATACAATACAATACTACATATAGTGAGTGCTATTAAACGCATACCTGGAACGCCGGCCGCTTCGTTTGGCCACGTGGCTTGTGTCGTCAATGTTTCCGGTTTAATGCCTGGCACATTATCCATAAAATGTCCAATTCCTTTCACAATGCCCACTGTGTCGGTAGCAAAAGGGATTGCACTAAATGTTGATATAACGAAATCATATTTGTCTTTTGGGTCCTTCCCATTTGGATTCTCGTATAAAGTAACGAAAGCGGGATCTGATATCTTAAATGAACCTAAACTCGTTATTTTAACACAATTGACACAATAAATTAGTAAAGAACACAAATAAACTAAAATGCGAAATTCCATTATCAAATTATTGTGCGATATCGGTGAATTTACACACAGATTTTATTAATGTCGTCTGCTTTTGTTTAGCCATGTGCTTAATAGTAATAGAAAGGGTCAACAGATAAGAAAAACAACCTTGATGGTTGTTATATGTTCATTCGTAATGAGAGAAGTGTCACAGTTCTTATTCTATTATTTGGCCCTATTATCATTTGTTTGTTGCCACGTGATCTATTCATTTCAATTGCAACTGTTGTGAATGTGGGTAGTTATTGCTCGTAGGATACTTAAATTCCTTAAAGCTGCAGGCATTTCGTTTAAGTTAAACAAGGGGCACATAGCATTTAATCGCTTATTTTATGATATGGTTTGCATGAACAATAACTCATTATTAGAACATTCCAGTAAAGTTTTATCAAAATCAGCCAAGTGGTCAAGGATATGTCATTCAAGAAGTCTTCGGTAGTTTATTTAACACCGATGCAATTATATAAAAGTGAATATCCGCAAATAGTATATGTATCCTGACGGCAGGTTTACATCTAAATGATATTATTTAATGAATGTTTATTGTATTCTTATTCATACATATTACATTTGTCATTCTTCTATGTATACTGATTTGCATGTATATTGAATGCAAACTTTCAAATGTATGTATGCCAATGTTAGGAAAAGTAAAAAAAAAATGTTCATAAGTTATTGTATTATTGCTTTTGATTTACGTCTTGTGCAATACAATAAACTATTGCCTATAAGCAAATATTCAATGCATGCTTTATAATAGTGTCCAGCTATTACCTGTTTATGTTTTTATGACCAAAATAGAGAAGGTGAATCCATTGCACGTAAATGTTGGAAAATGGTTAATGTTTTTTCTTAATTATAATAATTATATTCATTGCATTTTATGTGAAATAAAATTTAGAAAAACGTTCAATTTGCTTATTTTTGTATATTTGTTTTATTGGAAAACAATAACTCTAGCCTTATTTACGAATAATAACGGATCCCGCAAGAATACTCATCAAAAAAGACAAATGTGGGGAAAATCTCGGGATCCGGGACGCCCTGGATCCCGGGAACGTATAACGTAGATATATGGGGAAAAGTAACAAAATATTTTTGTGTTGCTTGTCGTTATTAAAGGCAAAATGCATCTTTAAATTCATAAGATTAATGTGCCGACCGGGATATTTATTTAAAGTTAAGATTGAAATATATATTTATAGCTATATATTATCAAAGTTAACATAAAATGCAGAAATCACAAGACTAAAAAAAAAAGATTTTTGTAATGATACATAGTCACACAATGAAGTATAAGTTTATGTAATCATAACAAAAAAAAACTTGTCACTATGAGAGGTAGCGATTTCCAGGGGACTCTGTATGTTTAATACGATGACGGCTGTATATATATTACTCTTACATGATCGCGGACGTGTCAAACTCATCAGAAAATACTTAACGGGTTGCGTTCGTTAAATTTCTTTTGTATGTGTTTTCTGTTTAATTTGTTAGTTTGCTGTTACATTGAAGTTTTTCTAATGTGTTTTTGTTGGATTGTTGTCCATTGATTTGTCTGTTATTTTGCCAACTGTATACTTGGAGTTCTGTTAAACCTGTCTGTCCTGAAATGTTCCGTTTATTGTGTTATTATCTGTTCAGTTATTGTCATTCTTATACCAGTTTTTTCTGTTTTATGTCTGTTATTGGCTTTTCATTGTTATATCTGTCCTATTAAGTTTTTATTGTTCCGATTTGTCTGTTTACAGTATTATTTTGTTTCGTAAAGTGTCATGTCATGTATTGTTATGTGTATTCTGTTCCGTTTGTATAGTCTATGTTATTCGGTGTGTCTTTCTTGTTGTCTCCCTTTTCTGTTCCGTTGTCTTGTTCCGGTAAGTATTCTCTTGCCTGTATCGTTGTCCTTGTAGGGCTCTTTTGTTTGTTCCGTATCTTGTCGTTTGTGGCTTCTGTTGTCTTGTTCCGGTAAGTGTTCTCTTGCCTGTATCGTTGTCCTTGTGTCTTACTCTAGTAAGGCTCTTTTGTTTGTTCCATTTCGTGTCTTGTGTGTTCCTTCATCATCTCTTTTCCACTTTTCTATTAGATCTTGTATTCTGGTCCGTTTAGTCTCTGCTTGTATGTTCTTATCGTTTAGTCTCTGTATATTCTGATTTTGTCAGTCTCGTAGTCATTTAATTCTGTAAGTGGAGTAGCGGGGGATCGAACTCACGACCCCTTGATTGGTAAGCAGACAGTGTTACCACTGCACCATAGCGCCCGCTCTGAATAATAACTGTTTTGAAAGTCCTATATACACTATAACTTCAATGGCCAACAAAATGAATTGCAATTAAATTTTAACACCTCTACTTAGGTAGCCTACCCACGTGACTTTTAAATATATCGTCAAAGAGAATATAACTTGATTTAAGTAATATTTGGGTGGATAACTTTGCTGTTAACATAGACATACGCGGTTTCGATCTAACAACACGTGGGACATTTAGTTTCTTTACCCTTTTGCGCTAAAACGGTCAGTTTAACTTTTACATAGAAACAAATTAAATGTAATCAAATCTTACTGCAAACAGCTAACGAAGTTCCCGATCATTTACCGAAGATAAATATATTGTGCGCATTCATCATGTAATCAGTATGCAATTGATGGTTTCATAAAATCAAACAATGCTTCTTTAAGTCTCCTCCAGCGTCACTTGAGGTGGCCTTTCGTGTGTTTGAGTTGAGATTGAGATTAAGTATCGTTTCTAAATATGGACCTAAGATACCTTGGGAATTTAGTGAAGGGTACCCGGAATTCTTAAAAATATCAGAAGGTGTGATAATCGTCTTGTAGAATTTTCCTAAAACCTAGATTGAATTCTGAAATTTTCAAGAGCTGCTATGGTTCCGCAAGCATGTACCAATCTCCCGATATCAGATATTTAAAGCAAATATACGGGATATTTTGCATCATGAAACGTTTAAAGTTTCATGAGAAACTTGTCAATGAATTCAATTTATTGATAAAATATAAATGATATGATCGCTGACATCTAGATCAAAGCGCTGAAAGCACTAAATGCGAAGGCTTTACTTAGGCTATTATAAAAGAAAGAAAAGAATAAATAAAAGAATGCGGCATGTCACTGTGTCATACATAATTAGTGTATTGTACATTTCTACAGTTATGTAATTTTAAGGCCCCCTGAAGGTGCTTCTGGAGGACTCGCCAATATGGGCAACCGGTAGCAAGTATTACACACACAGACACACAATTTAGTATACTGTACAAGAATACAATTATAATTATTTCCCTTATTCATGAGTAAGGTTTGACTTATCGTTTGTATTAAACAAATGGACCTAGCAAGTAAATATTAAATTTTAAGTTGATTTGACACAAAACGCAATGATTAAATTATTAATTAAACTAGAAACATTAGCCATTTTCCAACGTATACAAGTATTTGTAATGTATGCACCTGCCTCTTTTGTTTGAAAACGACATGACACGTTATACCAAATTTTAATTTCGTAAGCAATGTATTTTAATCATCACAAAGAATATATTATATTAACGAAATATACAAGCAGTTTTCATTTTGCTTATGTCATAAAGACATAAACGAAACATAATATGACGCTATTATGAAGCATGTATTCTACACAATAATTGGTCTTCTTCCACAAGACTTAAATCTAAAGCAACCAAATAGATTGTAACATTCAGACATGAACATGTTATCAAGGTACATATACTTTTGGCGGATATTCCTTTCCATAGTACTCCATAGTACTCATTACTCCTTTGAGCTGCATGCCTCTTTAATAAGACCTAACCACCTACAAAGTGTCAAGTTGTTCTGTCAGGAACCGTGATGCAGTTTTTACGTCACAGACGAAATCCGCGGTGTATTTAAGATAGTTTGTAATACGTTAAAGTTTAGTGGCATGCGTCATTTTTTAAAGCTAGCAAATTTGTGTATAAAAAAGTTAGGTTTTGTTCTAACATTACAGCATAAATATTATACATTCAGTGGGTCTTGAAATTACATAACTGCAAGGATGTACAAGACAATAATTAAATATGAGGCAGTGGCATGTCGCATTCTTTTATTTGTTTAATTTGTGTTATAAAAGCCCAAAATAAGTCGTCGCATTCAGTGCTTTCAGCGCTTTGATCTACATTGCAGTGTTTAAGATCATATCATTTTTTATCATCAAATTGAAATTAAATGACAAGTTTCTCGTGGAAATTAAAACGTTTCACTATGAAAAATAGCCCGTTTATTTGCTTTAAATGTCGGAAAAGGGAGATTGGTACGTGTGCTTGCGATACCGTACAAGCTCTTGAAATTTTCGAAATTCAGTCTCGGTTTTAGGAAAATTCTGCAAGAAGATTATCACACCAGCTGATGAACCTAAGAATTTCGGGTACCTTCCACTAAATTTCAAGGGTATCTTAGACCAGTATTCAGAAACTTCAGATACTTAATCTCAAACGCACAAAGGTTCGCCTCAATTGACGCTGGAAACGACTTACGGAAAGTAACTCATAATGTAAGAGACTTCAAAAGTTGCCTGCATAACAACACTCAATGTCCATTGCAAGAGTGTAAGCATGTGCTATAAGTAGATTTATCTTCTTTTGAGAAATAAATCCCGTTTAATTTTTGACGGGTGCATATGTGTAATTGCCTCAAAACCCATCCGTGTGAAACGGTAAAACATTCCGATAAAACTGGTTTTCGTAAGATTACCAAGCACGAGTTTTTCGTGCGTACATTGTAAAGGCGCTGCGCATTTTAAAAGTTTAAATTTGACGTGGAAACATCGCTTATTAAAATTGCTGTCGTTATTTGAAATGCTTCAAAAGTTCAACACAGCTGGTTTCAAGTGTTCACCAATTCGTCTTTCAGATAAGTATTTCATGTTATTTTTAATTAATTTTGGTTTTATAAAGATGTGTATTTTGAATTTAGTATGGCAGTGATTTTTCAATATGCATTTCACAGTGTAGATATAAACTTACACAAAAATTTGCTAACTTGGTTTCGATATGGTAT